ACCAAGGGGTAAAAAGAGAGGATAATAAATTTTAAATTATTTAAATACAATTGTGACTAATATTTACATATTGATGTGCAGCTGAGTGCACTTTATAAGACTATATAATGGATTAATGCAATACCTTTGGTAAGGACTTAATATGAAGGTAGGGTGTACTCATGTTCCTTCTCAAACACAATCTCTTAAGAATTATTTGAAAAGACTGCATAATGTTTTCTGTGTATGGAAATTAGAGCAATAATCTTTCATCTTTTTCAGAGTAACTTCAGAAAACTCAAGGCAAGGCACTGCAGTCTGACTCAGAATTTTGCAGTCTTTTTGTTAATAAATTTTGTAAATATGATCTTTAAGATAATGTATTATATATAAGACTTTTGTAGGCCACTAACTCATTTTTGCAGAGTTTGTGAAGCTAAATATTTAACAATTGATTTCTGTAAACTCAGTGTAGTTGAGGTCCAAATAGAATTTTTTTTTTTTTTTTGATTAAATTTAATGACTTTGAAGCTGGGTGACTTTGGCCCACATCTTTGTTGTCTTTGGTCTTCAACACTTCATTTATTTTTACATCTTTAATGTATAGCTTTTTCTAAAAGACCAGTTGTTAAATGCTTTCTCCACCTGTGAGCACTTTGTTACATTTCTTTTTACATAAGGCAAGCTGAGAGAAAGGCTCTTCCTTGTAAGATGTTACGACTTGTCACGACGATCATGTCTTTCTAGAATATGTTGCCTTTTCAGTTCATGAATCTGGATTGTGTCTCTTGGTCAATTTTAATGAACTCTAAATGTTCTTCAAAGGAGTTTGTCTGTTGCATAATGTTTGTTGTTACATGACATCCAGAAATCTTTAAGGATATTAAGCCACACTTTAACCAAATGTCTGCACCTCATTGGATTGTTCGAACAGTAATGAATGTATTTTCTAAGCAGGTTTCTCTCATATCAGTATTTAAGTCTTGTTGCAAATTTATTCATATTATTTGCTGATGGGATTTCCTCCTTCCTTGCCTCTGTTTTGGTTCCTTGAAATGAAGAACCCTTTGCAGTTCTTCCAGTTTCAGGCAGTTACGACAGGTCAAACCTCTCAACTTCCATAAGGGACGACCCAGAAATGTTATAAGATGTGTGGTGCTTTCATTGTGTTGTTCACTGTGTAATAGAAAACTGACTTCTCCCAAGTGAGTAAACAAAAAATATAATCTGTGTTGTTGATTGCTTCTTCTTGGGACTGTAAGCAAGAGGTGGTTTTATTGTTCAGAATATTCAGAGATCTTCCACATCAATAGAAATAACTAGAAGTACTCTAAAATCATTCATCCTCAGCACACAGCCAGTTGTGTTCCAAAGGGAATGTAGATTCAATCGATCTACTTTATGCAACTCTGTCTCTGCTGTTAGTACTCAGTGTATAGAGTATGTAGGTGATTGATAGTATTTATTTGAACCCTTCGGTCCAATTCATGTGTGTTTTTTAATGCAAAACTTTTAAAAGCCTAAAGAACTCATACCTTTTTTTTTTAAAACATGTTTGTTGAGTAAGTGCTGTCTACTATAGTTGAAAGGCAACAATCCCTTGCTTTTTATATCAAATCAGAGTAGAACAACCTTTATATTTTGTAGTTGTTCATTACATTGATGGAAACTACAAACCCTGAATGCTTTCATTAGGTGAGCTCTTAGATTATGTACTACTTTATACTTTGTGTCCTTTTCATTTTTTAAAATAAGTGATTCTATTTATACATCTATGTATAACTGGTACCTGACTGATGTTATCAAAAATCATTGTTTTCTCATCATCTGTTTTTAGAACGTTGGATGTTTCCAGTACCTACTTTTTTTGCTGAATCCAAAGATTTTTAGTTTAAACTTGAGTAAAGGAGGGGGAGGGGGGCATTTTTTAAATGCATTACTGACATCTTTCTTGGCAGCACTGATCCTAAATACTCCATCTAGCTTGAAAATCTTACCTACTGCAGTAAATAAATCTGACCTTGAAATCTGTTTAATATCTCCACCAATTCTGTTTTGGTTCTACAGCTGCAGAGTTCTCTGAATGTTTTTAAAGAACAACCTGTGTAACACTCTTCAACAGCAAGAGAACAGTTAGTTAGCTATAGTACAGCACCTCTGATCACTGCTGCATAACCAGCATCGTTTTGCTACGTCTCTGTTACTCTCTTGATCACAGAAACCATGTTTTTATAAAACTCACATGCAGTATTTTCTTCCAATCTTGGCATAAAATATGGCTTTTAAAGTTAGAAGATCAGAACCATTTTTAGTCATAAGACAAAACTATTTGAATGTTGTACCAATTAGCACACATTTTATTTTAGAATTTATGTGCAGACTACCAGATGACAGGATGATACAGCAAGTATGAAACTATGTAATTCTGAGAGCAATATTTAAAAATATTCTCAGGAGAAGGCATACAGTATTGAGAATTGCATTTAAGTTTAGTTTACATTATAAGTATTGCTTTAAATATCTGTATCTTTATTTTGCAAAACAAAAATCATGGGGACTGATTTATAAAAGAGTTGGTTGTAAGGTATTACTGCTCTTCTGATTTTTGTGTTTGGATGTTAATAATAATGTAAATAAAGGTTTCTATTTAAAATCAGAACTTGGTGACACAGTGTATTAGCTGGCTGATAACTGCATCCTGGAAAGGTGAGAGAAAACCCAGTGCTATTACTGAGGAGAGATTATATATATTTAGCAAGTTACTTCACTCTGTTTCCTAGCTGGGAGTGACAGCTTGGACCTTCCACTTGTGAGACCCAGTTAGCAACTCACGGTGCACCAGCACCGAGTGGAACTGGTGCCTTACAGCAGCAGGTTTTAGCAGAGCTGAAGGGAGGAGAGGCAGCAGCTTTCCCCTGATCTTGGCAGCAGCCTACCCCTCCTAGCACAAGAGCTGCTTCCCGGGTCACACACGAGCCCCACAGCTCCACAGCTGGTACCAGAGGACCCAGTAAGGTCTCAGGCGTCCGCGCGGTACGCAGCAGGAGCGGTACGGGGCAGGGCTGTGGTGGGCACGGCCCCTGGTGGCACAGACACAGGCTGGACACAAGGTGAGTGCAGTGGTGTTATCTAACCTAGGGCTCTTTCCACACTCCGACTGGGGAGGGCAGACAGCTAATGCTGGGCTCTCCAAACAGACAGTGTGTTTCTATTGGTAAGTTTAATTATTCTTTTACTTATTTGCATTGATCCAAGATCTCATAATCTAGCAGATGTTTCTGTTAATCCATGAAATCTGTAAGAGGTTATGAACAAAATCTATGGCTAGATAAAGACAGCCAATCATATTTTACTTCTATAATTAAAAAAGACTTGCAAGAAAGTTGGGGGAAGTGTATTTGACTTATGTGTGACACATACAAGCTCTGGCCTTGTTTTTCTACATAGCACATAATGAAAGACCCACTGACACTTTTTGAGCATGGTTTTTTTTTTTTCTCAGTTCCTAAATTCAAGTATATTTTTTGAGGATGTGGTACCATAGATCTATATCCCTTGTGAAGTAATTCCACTTGAATTTCCTAATGTGCAAAATCAGGAAGGGTATCACAATAATTATTTCCACAATGTATCTTTTACATTGTTTCTAGAAGTGTGCAATTTAAGTTTGTGTTCTGAAAAAAAAGGTACCTCTTTGTTAAGAGTGAAGGCCACAGCTGGTCGAGTCTGTCACAGGAGCACCCTCCTGCATGTGCCTTTAAAACAGGTAGTAGATGAACATGAAAAAAATCATAAATACAAGGATCACGGCCGGGGCCTGTACTGCAAGTGTATTTAATCACATCTTTATGAAAATACTCAAGTACTCTGTACACTGTGCTTCCTTAGTAAAATGATTGGGGTTTCCCTTTAAAAGCCTTTAAAACAGTAACTGTTATTCAGAACATCTACTTTGTTGTAGACTAGAACTAGATTATTCCTTATTAGCTACAAGTATTGAACTTCTTGGAGCTGCCTTTTTTAAAAATAAAAGTTACACTACTAAGAAAATGCTGCTTTCTCATTGGAATTGTTTTGGTCATACAATATAATATTACCACATAAAAAAACTTCCTACAAATCTGATTTCATTAAAATTTCAGATGTACATTTACGCAAGTTTTTCGGTACTTTTAAAAATGGATAAATTCTGAAATGTACTATGCAACATTAAGTAACATTTTGAGAAATGGTGTGTGGGCATTCCACTCTTTATTAACAAAATTCTTCACAACCTGAAGGAATTTATTTTCAAACAGTATATTGATCAGTATTTACACAACCCCTCCAAAAATCTGGCATTCTGCTAGTCAAGATTTTTCTCTAATTTTCTGAGAGGTGTCAATAGGATGGACAAGTAGACAGGGAACTAAAACGTATCCTCGGAGGAAATTTGAGACACATCACGGTGTTGAGAATATTCAGTGCTGCTCACTTCAATTCCTGAATCTCTTAAAAGCTCTTTTCCATCATTACCTTTACCCCAGGTAGAAGGGAAAGTGTCCACGTTTTCTAGATACTTGGCCTCTGAAGTTCTTCTCATGACATCTGAAAATAGAGTTGAGCTGAAAAATGCTTTGTTTACTTCTGCTGTCTCTGTGTGCACTTCTTCCCCTGGGACAGCACTCCTCTTTGGGATGCAGCTGTATTTCCTCTTCTGTCCATTCCTGGATCGGTGCTAGTGGTGTCTTCTTGGAGTACAGCGCCTTGTGAAGCAGGTGAGGTATAATCCAAAGCAAAAAGCAGGTACAATAGTGGGTTTCAGAGACCTGTATTTCTGACAGCATTTCCCATAATTTCACTGCATCTACTTAATCCACTCACCCGTGCAAACATTCTATCTATTTCAGCCTCAAAGTTTATCCAGTCCTCCAGGCTAACATTAAGATTCTCTCGGCAGTTGTGCACCTTCCTTTACTCTGTACATGGATTCAAGTTCTGGCCAGTTTGTGTCCTCACGGAGGCGCAGCAGTTGGGGGAGGTTACCCCTCCCAGCCTTCCCACAGTTGTCCTCTTTAAAATAAAACAAACACAATTTAGTGTATAACATTGTAGTAAGTAGTTAGAAATAAATTTTTAATGGTTCCATGAAAGAAAAAAAACAAAACAAAACAAACAAACCACTGAGGGACCACCTCTGAAAATACCGGTCACAGAAACAATCCACCAGTGTTTGAAACTTCAACCTGTACAAAACTCAGAGCTCATTAATTCCAGCTGTGTTTTGGTTCTAAAGCCACCCAAATCTTACCATTAAATGACTGAATCCTCTTGGGGCAAGTTGGCAATGCCAGACTCTGCCTGTGAATCTACTCGTATGTATTTTTTCTCTATACAGTTTAAGAGCACCTTCTGATTTTTAATGAGCCAAAGTCAGCCCTCTGTTTAAGGGCAGATGCAGAGACAGTAAGTGGTGTAGCAGAGGTAGCTGTTTTTCACAGCTTTAAATTCGTGTCTCACGCTTGGGTTCCAACAAGTTGAGAACAGTGGTTGGACAGCAAGAAAACATGTGATACTGTCTCTACTCTCAGAAATTACTGTCAGCTTTGTTCTTGCTGGATGGTGTGAGAGACTGCTAGGCAGCTGCTACAAGTTTAAATTCAGACAAAACCCAACATAATGGTCTCCAATCGTTACTGGCACTTAACCATAATTGGTTTGTTCAGCTGAGCATCCAGCTCTGCTCAAGTTGGAAATTGTCTTGACCTTCCTGCTCCCGATTCCCAGCACGTGTGTACTGAGAGGCCTTGTACAGCAGTACTTGTCTGGTGATGGCACTGTCGTACTTGTGCATAATTTAGAGGACTTCCCACTGAAGCACTCCATGAGAACAGATGATGACGATGTTAAAGGTGCTGCATGCAGAACAGAAGTGAAGGAAAGAAAGGTAAGGAAGAGCTTAATGCTTTTTGTGACCAGCCCCCAACTCACAGTGACTTGGCAGACGATGGTCTCTTCACATCTGGCCACTTTCGACGCTGAAACTGCCTAATTTTCAAGCAGCAAAAGGAGAAAAAAGTTAACCATCACCAAGAAAACCACCACAGCACTACAGTCTGAAGGATTAGGAAGGAGAAGAGTTTAGCCTGAGCAGTCACTACGAAGATTAGAACATGCTGGAACACTGAAATAGAAATAGCTCCAGTGTTTCAAAGTAACACAGGTGGAAAGCTCTGCAAATGCCACCATGCCAGGCACTGTCTGTCCACGGTGCTCCCAGTCCCACACCAACTCCCTTAGCACAGTAGTAGCAGCTAGTATTTAAGAGTAGTAATTAAACTTTTAAAAAAATGTACCTGTACTGCTCGTAGCTTCCATCTTTAAGTCCTAGATGAGGAAAAATTAACAATGTTACTAACCGTTGCCTGCAACAGAATAAGGTCAGTAAGGCATGACTTAAAAAGACCTAAGACTGTTAACAGATTGATGTGTATTGCTGTGTTGTATATTTGCATGTGTGTTAACTGGAGCTGTTCCCTTGGTATTTTACCCCTCGTTCCAGGTCAGCTAGGTTGTAAGCTGGGCTAGGTATGTCCTTCAGGGGTGCATTTAAATGCCCAAACCTGCTGACTTAAAACTGTACAGCTCTGTGTGGTGCATGTATTAAATAAGACCTGAAATAGTATTTTGGGTTTGGTGGACTCAGGCAGATAACAGTATTTTTGAGGTGGGGGGTCCTCAAGCTCTAAAGGCTATATACATTTTTAAAAATTATATTTCTTATGCCAGCTTAATAGTACTATGGGGTACAAGAAATGCAATCTAAAAGAAGAAATATAAGTGACTGCATTTTTTGTTTTGCCATCATTCATCATAAAAACATCACAAAAGCAGTATAAAGAACAGATCCTAGTTGGTAAACCCAGAGAAAATTTAAGGGAAAGGAAAGGATTACACCAACCTAGAACACGAGCAAAGACCCATTTTGCTCTTTGGAATTTAAATACAGTTATAAGAGCACATCTTCTGGTAGCACAGCACAACCATTCTTGTGCTGTTCCTTCACATCCACCTTGAACTAACACGGGTAGAGGAAAACCAATCAGCTTAAGCACCTTTATGAAGTCAAAGTTATTTTTAAGCCCATTTACCACAAAGCTGCATGGGCTGTACTGTCTTAAAATAAGTTTTCAAAGGTGGGGCCTTCAGTTGGAGTGCTGAAATTCAGCTGCCCAGCTGGTTGCCTAGAGAGCTTGAGCAGCCTCCATCCTGGAGGTTTTCAAGATCCAACTGAACAAAGCCCTGAGTAACCCAGTCTGACCTCACAGCTGGCCCTGTGTTGAGCAGAACTTTGGACCAGATGAACTCCAGAAGTACCTCCCAACTTGAATTGTCCTGTGAGCTTGCTAGTGGTTGTCAGGGTATTCCTTCCCTCTCACAAGTTTTCTTCCTGCCTCATCTCATTCCCATGCATCTCAGCAATACTCCTCACTATACTAAAGTATTCTTCCTCATTTGAGAAATATTAGATAACACAAATTGAACAAATAGAGACATTGAGCATGCAGCTGTCACGCTCAGCAGACATTACCAGTATAAATAAACACTAAAATCCTTCTGACTGAGACAAGTTTCACACTGGTAAGAGCCCCATTTCCTCTGGGGAGTTTTTGAGTGTTAGCAGGAAGAGGCACTTACCCAGGTCCATGTTCCTAGTTCTTGGATTGCATTGTTTATACCCTTTGCAGCTCCTTAGTTCCATGAGCTGGATGTGCAGTTGATTGAGAACATCTCTGTCCAGTGTATTCACTGCATTGATGAGCTGCAATAAACAGGGGGTCGTGTTAGTGACTGCTGCAGCCAAATCATAGTACGTGAAGTGATTCAGGCCTTATCTACACCCTGCACCAATACTGCACTGCTGTTTATCATCAGTAAGGAACGACTGTGTGTTTCCAGAGTTGCTGTATCACCAGGTACCTGGTATGGATCAGTATTGAGATCAAAATACTCCAAAAATCCAGTAGCAAATTCACAAAACAGGAAGTTGTGGGTCTCGTTGATTGTCCTCAAACACCAGTATGTGTTGTTGTTGGCACTGGTACAGGCGCAGAAGGGGCCCACTGCAAAGGGAAGAGTTACAAAGAGATAAAGCAGCACGCTGCTGTTTTAGCACTGTTTATTCCTTTGTTTACGGTGTTTCTTTATTCACAGATGGTTACTCTGTCTCACACCTGAGCTCTACAGCAAAGGATGCCTTCCAGCCTCAGCTGCTTGTTCTACACATACCCAACCCACACAACACAGCTCATCTGAGCCACATCTCGGCTAGTCCCCTGTCTGCTCTGGCTGGGAAGCATTCCCGATGGTGAGACACTACACATAACTGGACTGTACATGACAGCTGTAGGCTTTTATTTGGAGTTGGTTTTGGTTTAAACTCCCTGGCCTTTTTGCAAGGATAATGCCAGCAGTAAAACCAGGTGATTTAGCACAAGGCAGGCTGTGTGGCTTTGGCTGCACAGTTAGCGATACCGGTAGCTGCTGGTAACCCGGCATCCTCTTACTCCAGTACCCACCTACCTATTACTTAGTTTAAAGTCTCCTTACATGTCCAGAGGGGAGCAGTCTGCCAGTGCTGGTTGTCGTGGGTGAAGCAGGTCAGACCAGGCATGCTGCACGTGTCGTTGTTTTTTATTCTCTTGAGCAGCTTGCGCAGTTTCTTCTTCCGCCTCTGCTCTCGGAGCAGCCACAGCCTGTCTTTCTCCTGTAGGGCTTTCCTGCACACATGAAACATTAGAGTCATGCAGACTCTGTTAGACTTGAACACACCTATAAAAAAATGAAGCGGCTAATAAGTTGCTTTGAGGGAAAGAAAACTTTTTTTTTGAATTAAATGGCTTCTCTTCTCCATGGCTCTCTGTAAATCTTTGCAATTCAGTGTCACTGAAACAGGCAGGCAAAGCTGGCCTGAGTTCTGGGATGTGGCATTCCCACACCAGGAGCCTTATCTCAGCATTCACAAGAGTTTTAATGTGGGCCTGGTTGCTTGCCCAGGTGTCTCTGTTTGTTCCTTTGACTAGAGGACCAATGAACACCTACTGCCTTTGCGCATGGACATGTCTCTGCATTTCCTCTGTCAAAGGAACAGGCCTTCACTTACTTGAAAGGATGAAGACTGGATCCCTTGTGCCTCAGTTTGCTTTTGTGTTTTGGATGGTAACTGGAAAATAAAAACAGCATTGTTGATGAACAACAGAAAGACAATTGTTCCTGTGGTATGTGTTCCATATCACACTATCATACTGGGGCTGAAGCAGATTTAAGCCAGTGTCGCTTCTCCCATTTCTTCACTGAAGGCATGTGGTGAATACAAAGCAACTTGGCTAGACTGGGTCAGGCATTTGTGAGGCCCTGGTTCGTTTGTGCCCAGTGACATCTGGTGCTCCAGCCCTGCATTGCAACAGCGAGCCACAGATCAGTCCTGCTGCAGCTTCCCTGTGTAGCTGTCATTGGTTCTCCTTTCCCTGCACAAGGCAGGTGAAGAAATGTTGTAACTAAAATCAATACATTTATAATTCAACTATTCCTTCATTTGTTCACAGACAAGCTCATACCACCTTCCTAACGTCTTCCTTCTGAAACAATAGTACCAGTTGTACTTAGTAGTGTTGGGTTTTTTTCCTCCACTGTTAGTAGCTAGAAGTTCCAGGAAAAATTTTAACGAGGTGCATGGAAACATCCCCACAATATCAGTGTCTAATACATCCCAAGATATGGAGGGTGTAGGCTGACACACATTCTAGCTGGGTGGCTTTACTGTTCTGGCTCTGTCTCCAGAAACTCTTCCAAGATTTGGCAGAGATTTCGTTTCTGTGTAGTTTGCAAAGTTAAAGACAAGGCAGAACAGCTTTACTCAATGGCAATATTTTCTGACTGATAAAGTTACTAACCACACAAATCAGCAAAGACAAACTAAGTTCAATAAATGTTATTTTCTGTAACAGCACAGCATAATTCAGTCAGTTGTCTAGCAAATTCCCTTCAAAACAAATCTTAAATTATTAATGCTACTGGGAGCTTTAATAAATTTAATCCTTATAGCAAATTAACAAAGTAAGATTATTAAAGATCTATCTTGAGCCAACATTTTTATCTTGCCCAGGGTCTATGCATTTCATTACCTAATCCCAAATGCTAGACCCTAATTCAATGCAATTCTGAAAACACTTCAACATGTATAACTCAGCTGATTAACTTCACTGATTTCAGTGGGATTTTCCTCTTAATGCTATGCACAAATTTAAGTGTTCCTATACTGGGCCTGAAAAAATGTAACATTCTTTACTTTTAGTATAAAATATTTACTAGAAAAATAACTACATATTTATAGTATATATTAAATAAACTCAGTTGTTAACATCAGTTTTGAAAGCAGTGAGTTATTAAAAAACAAAAACAAAACACACACAAAAAAACCTCAAACACACACCACACACAAAGGTGGGGGGATTTGCCATTTAGAATGATAGTGGCTTTATTTTAAACACTTCTTCTCCGTGGGTCCCACGTCCTGGTTACACCCGTGGGACAGAGAAGCGTCATCCACAGCCTCGGGCCACTCAGTTAATGCTGCTGCACCACAGGTCACACCCCAGCTGCCTCCTGGTCTGAGTGCCCCAAGGGCAGCTCTTTGTGCTGCTCGTACAGCTGCTGTACCTGGGGACATCTGGCTCCCAGCAGCCTCCTGCTCTGGGATCACTACAACCAGGAGCAGCTGCTCCTGGTTCCTTTCTGAACAGCTTTTTCAGAGGACAAGCCTTTTTGGGTTAACACTTGATTTTGAAAGATTCTCTGCAGTGCTTATTTGCAGAGCTTTGCTTGCTCCCCAGAAAGCTTTGGGTGTGCCTGAACCTTCTTTCCATGCAATCAGCAGGCTGATCCTACTGCCGTTTTACAAATGTTTGGCTGTAACAGAAGTGACCTGTACCAGGGGACAAGAGCTGGTGCACTACGCCAGCGCAGTTCTAAAAACACTGTTAGGCTGCACCCACTGTTGAATTCCTGCTTCTCCCCCAGCTGTCAGTCTCCTGACATGAATACTGCAGGGACTGCATCCTAGGAGATAACACATCCAGCCTTGGAAAAACTGAATGGAAAGAGATTCTCTCATCTCCCCACCCCATATACTTTACATACTACTCTTTTTAACAGGTTTGTGTCACACTGCACCGCATTGACACGGTGCCCTTGTGGGAAGCAAGTGTTCAGAAAAACGCCTGCACCTTAAAATATTCTTCTCTGGTATCTAATAGCAGCATCTTTGGTACAAGAGCATAAATAACTGGTTTATAAGCTGCATTACACATCCTGCTACTCCATCACCTCTTGATTAAACTCCTGCCTGGCAGAAGGTGGGTCCTGTACTTCTGCAGCACTCCCAACTGCCCCAGAAAGTGTTATACAGAAACACAGTAAGTGAGAAACCACTTAACAAAACAGATTCTGATCTCTCCTGTGAGAACATAAATCTGCTACAGTTGCACACCACAAGTAATTACTTTGAAGTATACAAGAAATACCTTATCTTGTTACAATCACACTCTTCAGGTCGCTTTTTCTTCAGATGACCTCTCACCTCCCTCAGGTTCTTTATTTTATTTTGCAAAGTTTCAATCTAAAAAAAAGTAAAGATAGAGGTTCAAAAAATGCAGCATGTTTTAGTCTTATTCTAACCTCCTCCAACCCACGCTATTGTCACCAAAAGCTTCCTCTGCACTGCCCTCTGTGACTCGCCCCTAAGGAGCACTCTCAGGTGATTTACTGTTCCAGCAGGGAGCTCCAGCTGGACAGGACCTCGCTGGCACAGTTTGCCTGCTTTGACTGCCCAGTGTGAAAGCTGAACTTGGCACTGGGGGAACAGGAGGGCACATAGCCCCAGATGGACAACCACCCCTGGGCTCCACTGTGGTTTTTATTCTTGTGCTCCACAGCACATTTGCAAGTGGAGACAGGTTACTCAAAGAAAGCAAAGCCCTTAAATTTCAACCTGTTATGAACCCGAGAAGGGTTTGTAAGGGGAAGGAGTCCTCTGAAGTTCCCTCTGCAGAGCTTCTGCAAACGAAAAGCAGCAAGGCTCCCAGCATTTTGCATGGCAGTCTTTAGCAGAGTCTGGCCACACAGGATATGGATTAGCAGTTAATTGTGCCACCCACGTGGTTTATTTTAAACTGCCATTTTCAGTTAAAGAAACTGCTTTTGTTCGGTCTACTTCACACACAGCACGGCCCATCTCCACTCAGAGGGGTGTGGCAGGCATCTCCCTCAGGTCCCTGCGCAGCAGAAAACACAAAGTAGTCCAGTGCAAACAACAAAGGCACTGCAGAACTCCCATTAGGCACCAGTGACCATAAGTCTGGTGGAAGCAGATGGCTGCTGAAGCACAGGCAGGACAGAGTGTTCAAGAGAAATGCAGGGTCCAGCCCTGTGACCCTAAATCAAGAACACAACAGCACAGACACAAGCTCTCATTCTCTTTAGCACTCCACATGACCAGCATTTATGAAGAAAACAATTAGAAGAGTATGGTCACATTGAAGTTGCCCTTTTTTTAAACCTATCAGAGCTAGTAAGTTTTTCAGTGTCTGTCTGCCTTACTATGTGTCAATCTGCACCAGAAAAGGGCAGCAACAATTGTTACACAGGACTGTGCTGTGAATTCACTAAGAGTTACAGGAGGTCCTTTCTTCAGGAAATTTCTTTCTTTGGCATTTTTTTCACCATTGCCTCATCCTTAGAAGGCTGCCTCTTCTGTACATGTGTGAAGGATTTGAGTTTATATTCTTCAATATTAGTAATAAAAATGTCAGATTACGTTTTACGGGCAAACGTCATCGGTCACATTTTCTCCAGGTTACTCCTGTACACAAGCCTAAGTAAAAACAATTCAATTCCTAATTGCAAGGGTTAAACATAAGCAAGCAAATCAATTCTAGAGGATGGAAACTAAAGAAGCTCTTTTTCTCTTGGGCTTATGCTCGACAGTTTAAGGCCTCTTTTCAAGAAGTGCATTGAGGAGCAAAGCTAATAAGGTATTAAAAAGATCCAGATGAAATTTTTCCCAGGATAAGGACACTTATAAGTCTCTCGTTCATGTCATAAGGTTTATGACATTTCTCAGCTGTCCCTTCTGTTCCTTTCTCCACTCTGCATCTTGTCTTCACAAACCTGTAACAACTTAATTATCTCTGAAATCAGCCAGCAAGTTCAAAAGGTCCCAGGGAGGGACAAAGATGCCTGGGGCAGACAGACACAGTCAGCATGATCCTATCAGCCCCCAGAAAAGCATGCTAAAAACACACACTGAAAATGCACAGCTGATAACATCACTGACCTCATGGTCAATATGAAGTTTATGGTCCTTCCAAGCTTGCAGTGACCTGTAAAGATCTGTGTCACACTGAACGGTATCGTTCTCCAGGATGTAGCACCTTGGTATGGAAAAGCAAATGATGTTTATTACAGTGGATACACATACAGAGCAACACAAACGGCTCTTTCTAATAACACAGCTCCAGGACAGATGAGAAGACAGACTGGAGATGACAAGCAGAGTTAAAAAAACAACCAACCAACCAAAAAAAACAACCCAAAAACAAACCAACCCAACACAAAACCTCAATGTTCATTCAAGAGAATAAGAGTTGCTATGAGCTAGGGAAGAAGTTTGGGGTTGAGTTGCCATGGAAATTTTTCACAAGTAAAAAAATTCAAGGAGAATATTCCTTTGAAAGAGAACTTGTTGATTGCTTCATTTCTATATGTAAATTGTGCTGCACAGAGCTCTTGCTTATTCATTAGGTTGTCTACATAAATAATCCCTACTAGTGGCAAGCACTGAAAGCATTACTCAGAAGCAATTTCCCAATGCATAATTAAGTGATGCAGAGGTAAGGGCAAGGACAAAGTACTTTTTTATAACTTCTTCATTACTACACGATAAAGAGGGGAGGGGGGAAGAAACAGAAATTTTGTTGTTTTCTACATAAGAGATAAAATTTTTCAACGATCTCCCTGACTTCAAAGGCAAGATACCCTCTGACAATGTTAAGTGCTTATGTGTCACTAACTTATAATGCCAATTCAGGTTTTAAAATTTTTTCAAAACCAAACAAAAACCCCTGCCTGAGAGATTTACCCAAGAAGTTTGTTAGGGGTAAAAAAAATACTATTTTTGAATGCTTGCTTAAATTAAAACTGAGTATTTTCAATACTCCTTTATTTTCTTTAAACCACCTCAAGGCATGTTGTCCCAGTGCCTTCTTTTCTGCAGGTGTGCCTGGGGAGACACTTCATGAATAAAGCACAACCTTCCTGACAGTTCCTCGTATTCACCCAATAAGGCAGCAAAAACAAATCAATTTAACTTGTTCCAGAAAAAGAGCACAAATAGTGATTTGTGGGTCTGGAACATTCAGGAGA